GCCACAAGGTATAGATAGGGGCTCTGGGGCAAGTGATGCTCTCTGTCTTCTTGGTGCTTGGGGGGGCCAACAGTGGGAGGGCTTCTAATGTCCTGGCCCCACTGGTGGACCTCCTGATAGCACCTGGTATTTCTGGCCACTGTGTGACACAGAGTGTTGGACTGGATGGGCCTTTGGCCTGATCCAACATTGACGTCTCTTATGTTCTTATGTCACAACTTTCTACTCAGGCTCTCCAGAATCTCAGGAGGTGGCCTTTCCCATCACTTACTGCCTGGTCCCGAAGATGCTGGGGATTGAACCTGGGACCTTCTGCATGTCAAACAGAGGCTCCTCCACTGAGCCACAGCCCAAGCTGGCCATCGCTACCTATCTCCACAATATGCAACCAACGCTTACCTTTTCAAGTTCTATAAGAAAACTGTCCAGTGATTCATCTGACAGTTTCCCAACTTCGAACATGGTGACGGCATGGCTTTTCAAATTCTGCAATGAAAGGCAAAATTCACATCTTTGAGACTGTAATTCATGCATGTCTGATTTTAAACTCGTTACACAGCAAACCACCAGCAGTATGGACTAGATCGTCTCTTTCAACTCTTTCTTCAGACAATTAAAAAAAACACAAAACATTAACCAAAAAGTCCCAAATGAACTTTTCAAAGGACTGACTGGAAAAATGGCCGATTTTTTCCCTAAGAACTAAATTTTTAGAATACAAAGCCAGGGAGCACGTACAAGAATTTCAGTATTCTGATACATACCGGTGAAAGATTCCCCATCATTAGAAAGGCAGTGAGAGTCGAATCGAACAGGAAGGCTATGCGTTTTGTGTGCCCGCTAGACAGACTTAAACTGCTCACGCTGGCTGTATCTGCTAATAAAGTAAAAAACAATGAGGCAATCTGGAATTATTTTGCTTGGTATCTAGCTAAGGGTCCTACAGTACAATAGGACAGTGGTGGCGAACCTATGGCACGGGTGCCAGAGGTGGCACTCAAAGCCCTCTCTGTGGGCACGCGTGCCATCGCCCCAGCCAGGCCCAGACCATCATTAAAGTGTCAAATTCTCTGCCAAATAATTTTCAGTAAATGAAAGCATTTGGGATTGCTTTCCTTACTTTGTTTGGATCATCTTAAGTTAATGTATGAGTGGTTTATCTAAAGTAAAACCTCATTTGCGATAAATAAGTGGGTTTTGGGTCACAGTTTGGGCACTTGGTCTCTAAAACGTTCGCCATCACTGCAATAGGATGTTGGCATAACTGAACCTCTCCTTCTTTTCTACTTTTTTTTTTGCCTGTCTTAACCCCACTGGCTGACCTCTAACATCACAGAAGGACTACATTACTTTAGCAAGTGAATTCACCAAGTAGTCAGTTGTCTGGCCACAGGCAAGTAAGCCTCCCAGCTCACACACTGGTGACATGATAGAGACCGAGGAAAGCTTTGAGTGTCAGTCCCCTTGGCAGCTACTGGTTTAGTGGCTCTGATGTCATGAGGGACTTTGTAAACCTGATGCCAGATAGCTGAGGAAGAATGAGAAAACCTTAACTTTAATCCCATGGTCCATGATCACACAGCATGGATATGAGCTTTTGAGTGACACATCCCGATACAGATCAGCTGTGCTCTCTCAGAACCCTCTGAACAACTCTTGCTCCTTGTGTGCACAGCCAAGGCAAGATACTTCCTTTCTACACATTTAACCTACAAATGCATTCTTATAAAAAGTCTGTACAACTATACTTCGTGACAGAACAAATCAGAAGCACTATTATTTATTTAAAAACGTTTATTAGCCTCCTTTCCGTCTTACCGGCACTCAAGGCGGCTTACGACGGAAATACAATAAAATACATGTGATATGTAAAAACCGCACATTAAATGTGCATCTGTTGCAAGCATTCTGTGCAACACCCCTCCCATCTTCTGGTTGGGATAAAGGGACTCAGAGCTCCATTTCTACTCATGTCTGACGACGGGAGCTCTGACTCTCAGAAGCTCGTACCCTGAAACTCTTGCTGGGCTCTTAAGGTGCCACTGGACTCGAATCCAACTGTTCCTCCACAGACCAACACAGCTGCCCTCTGAAACTGACGCTATAATGGGTACAGGAAAAGGAATGCACAATAGTGAACACTGGCTCATTAGACTAGTAAGTGGCGCTCCGCCGCTCACCTGGGTCATCTTGACTGTTTGTGTCTGTATCTGTAGCGGACGATCCGCCCTCCTGCACGGGACTCCTGCTTTCTGCACTGTCCCACGACAACAGCATCCTCTGTGGATCCAAAGTATTTCTAACAATGGGAAGAAGGGTCTGAATCGATAATGCTACATCACTGCGGATACGTGCTCTGCCTCAAGATAGCTCGTGAAAAAAGCAAAAAGGGGGGTCACACAGCAAAGAGCAGAGTACCTGACAAAGCGATGTAAAAAGGATGCTGCGATTCTATATAACAAAGGTAATAAGTAAAGGTAAAGGTTCCCTTGCTCGAAAGCCAGTCAAGTCCGACTCTAGGGTTGCGGTGCTCATCTCCGTTTCAAAGCCGAAGAGCCAGCGCTGTCCAAAGACGTTTCCGTGGTCATGTGGCCGGCATGACTAAATACCAAGGCGCACGGAACGCTGTTACCTTCCCACCAAAGTGGTACCTATTTATCTACTTGCAATTTCTTGCTTTCGAACTGCTAGGTTGGCAGGAGCTGGAACTAGAGACGGGAGCTCACTCCGTCATGCGGCACACTTGGGTCTCGAACTGCTGAACTACCGACCTTCCACAGCCTGCAGTTCAGCGTCTTAACCACTTGAGCCACCGCAGCTCCATCAACAAAGGTATTACAGTAACAATAATATATAAATTTTGGAAGTGGCGCTCTTATAATTATTTTAACTGGTTACCCATTTATGGAAGCTGTTTTCTTTGAATCTCTGGTAAGTTGTCTTCAACAATTGCTGAAACGTTCAACCTAGTATCATTACATTGAGGCATGACTATATTTGGACATGTGTGTTTTTCACATAGGAAACTCTGCTTGCGATAATTATCTCAGAAGCTCGTGCAAAATTAAGTTCATGAAGATATAGGTAATTTTGTTTCATTTTTTGACTATGCTTTGTAAAAAAAAAATCATAGTTATATAATTGATTGCTTAGTTCCATTTTTTATGGCTAGTTATTACTGAGGAAGATCAACGAAACGAAGTTATTAATATCCGGACTCTTCGTTAACTACCTACTCTTACATGATTAACTACACAACATCTTTATGACCTTCTTGACCACAATAGTACTGTATTTATGTGACTGAGCTGGGGGAGGTGGTCTCATGGTGGTGATTATTTTACTTTTTGCAAAAAGGTTTTGGTTTTAAACACTGTAACCTAGGTTGCCAACCTCCAGGTGGTGCAAAACCAACATCTTTATGACCTTCTTGACCACAATAGTACTGTATTTATGTGAATGAGCTGGGGGAGGTGGTCTCATGGTGGTGATTATTTTACTTTTTGCAAAAAGGTTTTGGTTTTAAACACTGTAACCTAGGTTGCCAACCTCCAGGTGGTGCAAAACAAAGAGAGAGATTACGGGATGGAAGTTTGGAAAGAAGTAAACAACCGTGATGTATTATGTCAAAAAAGTCTCCAAAGACCAGAAATGTCTTTTTCCAATATTTCAGTTTACTGGAAGAAATTCAAACGCCATCAACACAACGGAACATGCATATTATCTCGTTTCGTGTATAACTTTTTCAAGGTGAGTAGCGTTGAAACACCTATATTTAATTACAAAAATATAATTCTATTATTAGTATTAGCAAGAGACAACAGACTGATATATAACATACTTACAATATTAATCCATTTGACAAACTCTCTAGTAGTATCTCATAGTGACACTCATCGAAACCATTAGTGTAATGTAAATTCACTCTTCCTATTTACTTATACATATCTAAAACCCTTAATTGCTGCCAGCCAGCTGCTTGCCAGACCTGCATCTTAAAGGGACAATTCCCATTTACAAAGGCAAAATGCCCTGAGGAATAGAAAAACCAAATGAGGTTTTACACACTTTTACCATTTCAAATACACCAGTAATGGCTGCCATCCCGACAGTCAAGCCATTTAACAACACAAAACTACTTTCCTGGGACAGACAGGACAAGGGGAGAAGAACACCATTTAAGAAACCACCATAATCTTACACACGAGAAACCCACTGCTTTTCACCCATTTCCAAAAAGACTTATCAAAAAGAAGTAACACCAATGTGTAGATATGTATAAGTAAATAGGAAGAGTGAATTTACATTACACTAATGGTTTCGATATGTCAAATGAATTAATATTGTAAGTATGTTATATATCAGTCTGTTCTTTGTACAGCCTTGTGCTATTCTCTTGCTAATACTAATAATAGAATTATATTTTTGTAATTAAATATAGGTATTTCAACGCTACTCACCTTGAAAAAGTTATACACGAAACGAGATAATATGCATGATCCGTTGTGTTGATGGCATTTGAATTTCTTCCAGTAAATTGAAATATTGGAAAAAGAAATTTCTGGTCTTTGGAGACTTTTTTTGCATAATACATCACGGTTGTTTACTTCTTTCCAAATCTCTTGCTAAGCGACAGATACGAAGGAGCAACAGCAATAGCCAACTGTCCATGTATTTTATTTATTCTGAATGTTGAGTTCACCCTTCAGGGGCCTCCAGGAGGTTTGCCAGTGAGCTAAAATACAAAAACCGCACAAACCAAATGTGTTGGCCGTCAAATGAGAAAAGCCATTACATGTCAGAAATTGGTGCCTGCCTTCAGCTGTCAAAAACCAAAACCTGAAATCGAGAATGTTTTGACTGTCAAATACAGATGTTGGCAGATATTAGAATATTCTAGATAGCATAAAAATCAAGATGTGGACACTTTGTACCTTGCACTAAATTGTACAGTGGATTGATTCAAGAAACCCGTGAAGAAGGCAAGTCCTCTGTTAGCAGGCTGCTCTGCCAAAGTCCACAGAGAATGTAATTAGATTCTCCTGCATTCCAAAATGCATGATTATTATTACAAGAAATCTTTCTCTCCCAGCACAAAGTGTTCTGCTGTCCTTCATCCTTTCACCTCCCCTCAAAAACAATGTGCAAATAGATCCAGGGCAAAGCAAATTATGGGGACGTGGGGGGAACCATCTTGCAAAAAACGGAAAAAAATGAAGAAAGAGGAGGCATAAATAGTTGAGGTGTGTTAAACTGTAGGAGGGATCATTGGGAAGTTATAAGACAGGAATTTATAAGGGCATGTGAGATAAACAGAGCAAATACGGAAATTTCCGTTGCAAGGTGCTAAAATTCAGGGTCATTTAGTAGTAACTGGTTTAAAAGCAGAATAAACTTGTTCACACAGCACGCAAGTAACCTTTGGCACTCCTTGCTGCAAGATGTTTGGACAAGGAACTTTTTTATTGACAAAAACTTTTCTGGAGAGTAGCCATCTTGGTCTGCAGTAGGGGAGCTAGGTTTGAGTCCTGTAGCTCTTTAGAGACCAAGATTTTTTTTAGGTTTTCATCTGTTGAGAATCAAAGCTGCTTTCATCAGATGCAAATTGGAATGGAGATCCCTGAGTCCTTCTATCCCAGTCAGGCGGTTTGAGAGGTGTTGCAAAGAAGAGACGCAGGATACGGAGACAGTGCAAAAACAATCCAGCCCAATTTGAGCTGGGGAGGAAAGCTTTTAGGGGCAGAGAAAATTAGCATCTGTTGTGTGAGATAAGAATCCTTTGTCTCTATTCAGCCCCCCCTCTGGGCGGGGTCCATTGCTCTGAATTGTCTATTTCTACTTTACAGACTATGGTGCTTACAGAGACTGTTAACAAAGAACAATGGAGAACCCTGAATAACTGGCCAAAAATCAGTCTGTCTACCAAGCTGCTGTGGCTTAGGAACCATGAGAATGAATTGCGATTTAGGGAGTTTTGATTTTGTATTTTTGCCTCTACTATGAACTCGCTATATGGGCTGAAGCAAACCTCTCCCACCCACCCAGAGCTGTAGTACAAGGGGAATAATACACAGCTGCCTACCTCAAAGGGTTATCACAAGTTTGCATATATATGAAGCAGTTTGAAGACTTGGGGGAAGTTTGATTTCTGTAGGCTATTTGGAGGATCACAGCAAGATAAGGTGTGTAAAGTATATGCTGTATAAATGCTAACTTACCTCACAGGGTTGTTGTGAAGATAAAATGGAGGAAATACACCACACAGAGCTCCTCAGAGGACACTGGGATAATAATGTATCAAATAAAGACTTTTTCACTGTATAAGAACATAAGAGAAGCCAATGTTGGATCAGGCTAATGGCCCATCCAGTCCAACACTCTGTCACACAGTGGCCAAAAATACCAGGTGCCATCAGGAGGTCCAGCAGTGGGGCCAGGACCCTAGAAGCCCTCCCACTGTTGCCCCCTCCCCACAAGCACCAAGAATACAGAGCATCACTCGCCCCAGCCTGAGAGTTCCTATCTATACCTTCTGGCTAATAGCCACTGGTTGCTCCACTGGTTCTAG